CAAATATTCAGTCCATTAATTAATAAATGCAATTTTCATGATTTTTGTAGGCCACTGTATAGCTCCAAAAATTATAAAATTTATTTTGGTACACTAATTTGTTATGAGGAAGCTTACATAAAATTTTGAGGTCATTTGGAACAAGTTTATTTTTGGGCTTATTTCAAATTAATTAAAAAATGAAGAAAAGCAACCCTAATTGTTAGGGTTAGGGTTTAATTTTTGTTTGGGTCATGTTGTGTGACCAGTAGGGTTTCAAGATCAGTTTGGTCAAGTCACATGTGTGGTTCTTGCCGGTAGAATTGCAAGTTGGTTTTGTTGGATTGCAACTGTACCGTGAAGGAAAATCGTATTCGGGGTGTTGTTACATTTCATGTACCGTGAAAGCATCATGTTTACATTATCATCATGTTAAAGCATATGTTATCATTTCATGTAGAACCCGAGAGTGAAATGATTCTAGTTGAGCAAGTATTGGAAGAATCCCCGGTTGTCGCGGGATTTGGTAATTGTGGTACTGATCCGGAACCTGAGATCGTCAACGAAGGCAAGCCCCGGTTTATGCATTAAACCATTACCTTGTTTACTTTGAAAAGTTTATCACCTATGTTACTTATTGCATTAAGTTGATTTATTCAAATGTTACCTACTTGATGCATTGCCTACCTTGTTAATTGTTTACCATCCTTGAAGATGATTTCATTTACAAAGGCATAGAATTGCTTAGTATGCTTTGTGGTAGGCTTTCAAAGTAAAAGTTTGGGTATAATTAAAGATGGCATACTGGCCAAAGAAAGAAAGAAAGAAGATAGAATGAACTAGAGACTAGTCGGGTGACTTATCTTGAATGTTGGGTAATGTTGCCGACTATGTCGCTTAAAGGTCATTCATTGTGGATCTTCTGAACGAGACACTTTGTAGTACTGGTCACATACTCCGGTAAGCCTACTTCGGCTAATCCGATACTAAGACGAATGCCCACGCACTAGGAGTGGTGAGATGGCGGGAGTAGCATGTACCCTCGTGGCTTGAATGTGGTCGGATTTGAGGTGTGCTGTGCTCTCGGGTGGCGTGGAGACAGCTTAGTACGGGAGGATCCGGTAGCAAGGTTGATATATGCAAGATTAAGTTCTACATATGTCGTGTGATAAGGAATCCCCAGCTGGGACTTGAATCAATTGAATTCTTTGGTGCTCATGGATATGGAGACTCGATTCATTACAGAAGCAATGCAGGACTGGTGAATTACTAAAACTTGAGAAAAGGAATGGAATGAGAAAGATTGGAACATGTGATATGAACACTTAGTTTGAGATATTGAACTAAAGTACTTAGGGGTAAAACTTGAAACTAGGATCAAGAATAGTAAGCTTTTGGCAAAGAACTTTTGAATCTTTCTACATCCTTACCTTGACCCAACACTGCATCCCTAAGACCTTCGCCCTTTTTCGTCGGGTCGGTCTTGTTGAGTACTTTTGTACTCGGGGGTTTGTTAACCCTTGTTTAGGGTGAGTCGCATCTGCGCAGCTTGTTTTGGTCCCTGCTTTGCATGTCGGTGTTTGAAGTCGATGACGATGAGGAATGATGAATGGCCTTTGGACAAGGCACTAGTTTGTGTGAAATAAATAATGTTAATGTAATATTATCCCGCTACTATGGTTGTATGACACTTATGGTTTTGTAAGTTTGAAACAACCTGGTTTGTAATATCAAAACTTAAGTCTTCCGCTTTATAATCTACGGTATGTATATTGAAAAGCTGTTGTAATCTGCAATGCCCGTGATTGGGATCCTGTTTGAAAAAGATTAAGTGGATGATTCGGGTTTCCGAGGACACCCGACAGATCTGTTAAGTTCTTTGGGAACTTGTGTACGCTTATCCGAGGTCCTGTTGAGACATCGATGGGTGCACGTGGGCCCGATTCTTAGGAGGTTACGCCACGAGGGGACTCCATGGCTCTCCCGCCGCCTTGATCGCCTTGCCTGCGTGCACGGGCGAGGAGGTAAGTCATGGAGCACCGTGGTCGACAATAGACCGGCCCGTGTAGGATGGAGGACAACGACGGAATCGGCGATGGTGAAGACGGAAACTGAATGGACTGGATCGGCACGCCAGTCTGTGGCGGTTGTGAGCCTACAGCTGGTGACACCGGAAGCGACGTCGTGGGCACCGGCAATGGCGGCGTAGGCAGAATCTCGGAGATGACGGGCCCTGATGCCGGAAGCGCTGGGATGCCCCCATACCCCAGCATGCCATACCGCAGGCGGCGCGGATCGAAATCTAAGAAGAATGGCGGTCCCGACGGACCAGACGGCTCGATGGCGGCCACCCGCAAAGACGGCTCTCCCATCTGGCGCCGCATGCCGTCAAACATGGCGCCCATCATTGTTGCGCTGTATGCAGGCAGCCAATGATTCTTCGATGGTGGGCGGCGCTGGCGGTGGGGCCGGCGTTCAGGAGGTTGTCACCGGAGCCGTCGAGATGACGGGAAGTGTGGTTGCGCCCGAGGAAGCGACGGGTGACGTGGCCGAGCCGCCAGAGCGCTAACGGAGGAGAAAGTCCCAGAGGAAGCCATGATCTCTGATACCAAGTTGTTAGCACTTCGGCTCCTGAGATTGTACTGGTGGTGGACTGGAGGTCGTGGCTTGAAGAGACGCCGGCGAACTAGAGGTGCCGTGGCCGGCGTCGAGCTCTCGCGAGTAGATGGAAAGGAGAATAGGCTGGGGGCCCAAGGGAGACGTGAGTTTCAATCCCAGGCTTGCCTTTCATTAAGCAACTAGAGTTTGGTACTTATACAATTGATCCTATCAACTTGAATCTAATCCTGACTCGAATAACAAACTGACTGAATAACAAATTCCTGAAATCTAGGACTCTTGATAACTAAACCTCACGTGACTAGGCACCAGCCTCATGGTGGCCCCACTGCTCAGCCACGGTTCCTTCGGTGATATACTTTCCCAGTCATAACAACAAGAGAGGCTGAAATTTCAGTCTGAATGATGTCATCAGACAATCTAAGCAAAAGCCAAGAAGAAAATTGGTGTTCACTCAATATAGCAAAAAAAAAGCAGATTACAGTAGTTTTGTTGTTAAGGGATTAATCATGAATATGCAGCCACAGTAGCCACTTTCATTCATCTATGTAATCAAGCAAGCTGTAAACCAGACAGCTACATGGTGCCCCCAATTTTATCAGCTACCATTGGCATGCAGTGCCTAAACTCAATCAGAGTTGGGATTCGCTCTGTGTGCATCGAACACATATTTCCAGCTCCATGTTCAATCCACAGAATGCAAAAGGTTCATTTTTTGGTGACAATTCAACAGTTGTTCAATTAACTTGTGGCTGCGGTCACTGAAACAAATTAGCAATAATGTGATACGGTTGCTGCATAGCTTCACCAAGCAGTACTCACTCTTCGGTGGCAGCGGAGCCTTCTCCACGACGGGCTCCGTCATCACAAGCCGCGTGGTGGTGACAGTGGCCGCCTCCCGTGCCGTTGGACGAGTCGGCCGTTGCGCCACTGGGATTGCTGCTTCGGGAGGCCACCACGCCCAGTCTGTCGCACGGTCTGGCCGATGCTCTGGTGGGCGAGCTCGCCCCGCCGCGTCTATCGTGCCGTGGCCTGCACCCCACGCCGTCGGGCGAGGCCGCCGCCCGCGAGCTGCCGACGGGCGAGCCCCCCCGCGCAGCACGCGCCGCGAGATGGGGCCAGTGCTGGCCGGCGAGCCTACCCCGCCGCCGCGTTCCCCGCCAGACCCGCGCCTCGATCTGCGACCATGGGGCGAGCTTGGCTGACTGTGGGGCGCCTCGAGCTGGGGGACCCGCCCCGTGAGTTCCTGGTCACCGGCGGCCAGCGCCTCCTTTTCCCCATCCTCATCTCCTCCGACCTCCATTCTCTCTAGGGTCTGTGTCTCTGGTTTTCAGAACAGAGGCCCCGTTCGCTTCGCTGAAAAACAAGCCAAAACACTGTTCCGGTTGATTTGTTGTGAGAGAAAAACACTGTTCCGACTGAAAAAACAAGCTGAAAAGTACGGATTACAAGACAAGCGAACAGGGCCAGAGGAGCGACGGGAGAAAGGAGAGACTCGAGGGAGATGGACGCACGCACGAGACCGAATAAACATGGGCATTTTGATACTTCTAATGAAAAGATAACATGGTCTTTCTAGTCAACTAATCAACTAACGGAGGGATACCTCAAATGGACGGAAGTGTCATATACGAAAGGAATTTTTAAGTTAATGCTAAATAAGAAAGTTCAAAATTTCCAGTGCCAAATACGGAAGAGTGATTTGTTTCAGTGCCAAATAAAGAATTCTCATAAATAAAAGGTAACAATCGGTAGCATTTTCTTTCATATCTATGCCCTGTTCGTTTTGGCTTGTTTGGCTTATAAGCCATGGCTGAAAATACTGTTAGCTGGTTTAGTGCGAGAGAAAAATACTGTTCGTTGGCTGATAAGCCACAGCTTATAAGCCAAATACGACCAGGCGATCTAGCTTTCTGGAATCTGAAACTACATAGCTCTTCCCTATTTTAGATGCGACTGCATCTCCGACGGCCTGCTTCACGTCTTGTTTAGTTTCACTATGTAAAGTTTTGGGACGTTGCATTGAGATGTCGTATGGGGTGTTCGAATACTAATAAAAAAACAAATTACAGAATCAGTCAGTAAACCGTGAGATGAATTTATTAAGACTAATTAATCCGTTATTAGCACATGTGTTACTAGAGCACTTTATTGTCAAATCATGGGCTAACTAGGCTTAAAAGATTCGTCTCGCAAAATAGTCGCAATCTGTGCAATTAGTTATTTTTTTAGTCTATATTTAATACTTCATGCATGTGTCCAAATATTCGATAGGATAGAGTGTAAACTTTTAGGGGAGAAACTAAACAAGGCCTTAATACAAGCATGTAAAGGAAAGGATGGGATCAGATATTCAAATGAGATGTGACCATACAAGGTACCGTTCAAGGAACCAGCAGTGCTTATTCACCCCTCAAGACACCAGAGTCGACAACCCTAGAATTTGCAAGCTTCTCAAAATCAGCTAGCACCTCCATTCCTTCATACAGTTTATTATATTCTAGTGACTTTGCTGTAATAAAACAAAAAAAACACACAAACAATTATTAAATCATCATTCAAGCATGGCTTATCTACTATTGCAAAATCACAAACCAATAGAAACAAAGGAAACGCAGAGGCCGTGGTGCACATACATTCTTCTGGAGGAAGTAGGCTTGCTGGTCTACAAGCATTAAATCTTGAAAGTGGAGCTACAACAGGTTGGTCTACAAGCTGAGGAGAAAAGAACTGCACTTCCAGTTTCATAGCTTGCTGGTAGAGCTTGCCAATAATCTCAAGCTCCTCACCAGTTAATGAGACACTTAGTTTGTCTAGCAATTCTTCTATTTGGAGTGCATTGTCATGTGGAAGAGAGGGTAAAACAAGAGATGATTCAGCACATGAACCAATTGCATTGAAAACATAGAGCTGAAACCATAGAGCTGCACGCGGAAATAATTAAAATAACATCAAATTCCATTTTCATTCATGTAGATAGAAGTCAAAATGCAAATCATGATATGATGTCCTCGTCAATTCTATGCTCGTCATCATCACCTAAAAATGAATATCATTTTAACCTCAAATTCTTATAATCATGTTTGAAGCAACACTGGTAGGACCCCAACCAAATCTCTGTGCTACCAGCAAATACAGTGCGGTTGCTGAGCGTCTAAAAAAAGCAACAGGGTTTCTGAGAATATGCTTGTGAATATATCCTTAATCACTGAGTCGCTAACAAAAAATGAAGGACATGTCTTCAGTTTGCACCGTGGTAAAACTAAACAGATAGGCTGAGATACTACTGCGAAAATGAAGGATAGGTTTATAGAAGAAACTGAATCACAAAACTATAATCAAACGAAAACAGATCATTTTATCTGCTTATGATATATATGTAGGGTACCACATAACCACGTGCTTAAGCGTCACTTGCTTATGATGATGGCATTATATTTTCAAGGTCGTTGCTGACTTACTGCATGGCCTCATGAGTCTTCGACACCTCTTCCATAATGTCCCTATTTTCAGCAGGTTTCTGAAACCAAGGACATGCACGTGCCCAGGTACATGTTTTTAAAAACTATTTAATGAGACATTATAAGATCTAAGCCAGTATTGCTATATAGCACAATTCTTGTGTACAATTTGGATAAAAACTGAGATTGGAAACTCTGACTATATAAGATATCATAGTTCAATGAGTACAAACATTCTTATCTATGACTCTATGTGCTTCTAATCATAGCCATATTATTTGGAAATCAATTAAAAATCAACATTCTTATCTGAGAATTCGGATAATCAGTAGTCACAACTGCAAATTTCTAGGAACTCTTGAACAGTTTGTTTATTGTGAAGAACCACTTCGATCTGTAATTTCGACAAATTAGTAAATACTTAACCACAGCAGGATAGTAGAAAGTCAGCATGAAAAAACATGGAACTGATGTGCTATTTGACCTTAATGTTGTCGTGCCCATAGACCTCAAACTAAGTGTCAGGTTTCTAATCAGAGTAGCAGAGGTTAGTATCCACGTTTTTTTGCTCACATGATCAACCACTGTCCCTGAGCAACACATACGCCATCCATCTGTGCAAGAATATTCAATTAATAATCATCAATATAATTTTTTTGTCACACTAAATTTTAAAACAAAGTCAGAGTAAAACTCTCAAGTCCCCCCTTCACTCTATACCATATTTGTGTAAATGCAATCAGCATATTTATGGTCAATATACAGCAATACTATGATTAATAATAACAACTGAATGCAAGAACCCAAATAACAAAAACTACTAGTAGCGGCAGCGCGACGACGGAGACAGACGTTCAACGAACCTGTAGCCGCGCTTTGCTTTCAATTTCCGCGCCTGGTGTTCCTCACCGCACCAAGGCGTCGGCGGACATCTCGAGTTATAGATGCTGTAGGATCAGCTGCAGATGATCCTTCGCCAGATGTATAGACTTCAATAGGTACAGTCTTCTCTACAAATTTGAGAAACTGTTGAAACACACATTAGTGTCACTGAACAAGAGACCTTTAGTTTTAAATTATAGTACAAATCACATGATCCCAAAGCACAAGTTATGACAGATGAGTCTGTCACGTTATTTTCCATTAAACTAAATGCTATGACAACACCAAACAATACTTGCCTGTGATTTTGCTGTGGATGGATCACCCAGAAGCAAGATACGAATATCCCCTCTCAAACGTATACCTAGAAATTTATTATGTAAGCAAATAGCAAAATAAAACAATAGGAGAAAAAGAAGAGATGGCCCGCTACCGGTTGCCCACGGTTGCCCGAAACCCTAACCCTACCGCCACCGGCGGCGGAGAGGCCGGTGCCGCGGACGAAGTTCGTCACCGCATTGCCCCTGGTTCTCGACGGGGGCGACGGCCCCCTTCTCCCTACCGTCGACGCTCCGGGCAGCTCCTCGGCGCCGACATGGCGGTACCTATCCCCCCACGGTGCTTCCCCTCCGGGCGACTGGGATCCTGGCGCCGAGGTACGCGGCGCGGAACTCGTCGTTGGTGAGATCGGCGAACTGGTTCATCCCGAGGCAAAGCACCAGCGTGCCGCGGACGACCGTGGGGCGGCGCCGGCGGGGCGGTCGTCCTGGCCGCACGCGAACTGGTGGCCGTCGGCGCGTGGGGGAGAGGAGGCCGTCGTTGTGGGGGAGAGGAGGCCGTCGTCGCGTGGGGGAGAGGAGGGGGAGACGAGGAGTCAGCGTGGGGGAGCGGAGGAGTCGGCGCGCGTGGGGGTAGAGGAGTCGCGGGCGTCGCGCGTAGGTGGAGGCGTTGTAAGGGAAAGAAGAGGCCAGAATGAATCTGGTGCGTTCGTTTTAAAGCTGCGCTGGTCCTGGGTGTAGTTTTCTATGTGCATCCAGGAGATGTCATGACTGTGGAGGCCAGTTGTTGGGGTAGTTGTAGAAAATTTCACAACCGGTGCATTATTAGTTGTTGAGATTAGTTTCAGTATATGAATAGTTATTCTAGTAAAAGAAACTGAAGCAGAAATTATGTTAGCCAATTTCATTATTCTCATTGTTGTCATTCAAGACAGAACCATATAAGCGTTTTCAACAGAAATGGTGTAATCATCTCGTTCTCTAGGGCAATATGGTGAGTACACATCAACAGGGTAGCGACGATTTACAACAAGAAACAATAATTTGGAGGGAGCTATTAGCCGAAACAGTGTTTTTCTCTCGCAACAAATTAACCGGAACAGTATTTCGGCTTGTTTTTTCAGCGAAACGAACGGGGCCAATTGCTTCAAATGGCTGTTGCATACACAAGGATTCAACCAGAAGAATCCCTAGTGCTGGACTCTTGTTCTGATTTCACTTCTTGGTCGTCGAGTAACTTTCCATCTTTTGGTACAAGACAAGGAATTCCATCAAGTACCTGCAGTCACATCACCAGTTCACCACAAAATAAAGAGTTGGGGAAAATGATAAATGAAATCGCCAGGTACAGGAGCAAATGCTCACAAAGAGGGTGTTGAGCTGAATAGCTAGGCGGTCATGGTCATTGCAACGACAAACAAAAAAAATGTCCGAACAAAACCACATATTTTGATCCCTAAACTGCAGTTGCATAGGTTCAAGATTTTCCTTCTGTGCAACCAAAAGCCGATGCAAATCATTTATCAGTTCCCTCTTTTCCCAATCAAATCAGTTGGTTTGGTCGTAATAAGCCATTAGGTGTGCACTTTGTCACTTTGATCATTTCCTTCTCCCACCCACCCTATCTAGTACCTAGTCTGTTCCAACCACAACACTCACATGTGGGTATGTTAGCGGTAAAATCTGGTTACAAAATGATTATCCATATAAGCACTAAACTCCAATCTGAATTTGTTCTGAAACTGTCTTGAAACTAGGCAAGACCTGATCCTGCAGAGGCCTACCAAAACATGCACGGCAGCACAGGCTACGGATTCCAAAACACTCATTTGTTTGAAAGTTTGCGCTGCAGGAAATCTGCGCCTACACTTCCAAGTTTGAACAGTTTAACGCATTTTTCCCCATTCATTCAGTCAATACAACAAACAGGTGGCCGGCACAAATGGGCATCACACGAGATGAGCACAAGAGCGATCGGGACTCACCGGGAAGGACACCCCGGCGGCGTCGCTGACCAGAGATCGGGTGGCCTCGCAGTACCTGCGCGGCAAGGTGCGGCACACGGCTAAGCAAGCAGGATGGAAACGAGGGCAATAGCTGCGGCAAAAGAGGAGGAGACGGAAGCCAATTAGTCTCGGATTCCCCACCTGAGAGGCTGCTTGGAGAGTGGGCAGACGAGCACGTCGGCGAGCGCCCGCGGGATGCTGCGGCCGACGTGGGTCGATAGCAACGCCGCCGTCCGCCTCATTGTTCTCGTCGTGTACTGGTGGTTGATGGTTGGACCAATGTGCTCGGTTTGGCCCAAGCGACCACTGCTCAGAGTCAGAGCACGCATGCTCGTTGTTGGGCCCACTGGTGGGCCTCGATCCGACCCACCGGCGCTATAGGAGTTGGGCCCATGGTTGCAATCTGATCTCTGCTATAAGGATCAATCAAAATGTCCCCGGAAAAACATCCCCGCTGAGAGCCTCCATTGTGCAACTTAAAAAAATACACACAGCAAATCAAATCGTCTCTATTAAAATCAACGGCTAAAAACACCCTTCAAACCCAATCCAGCGGCCATGATTAATTGTTTGACGTAGGCTTCAAACGCAGGTCGCACCATCCCCGCACGTCCTCCTCCCCGAATTTTTTATTTTTTAGCCTTTTTTTTGAAAAAAATTCACATATATGCCCCTCAAGGAATGATTTTAAAATCTAGACCCTTAGCTCGACGCCACCGAGCGCCATCGTTGGTGGCGCCGAGCTTATACGTCTCGGCGCCTAGGTCGGGGCCACGTTGACGGCATGGACGCTGACATGGCAGCCAGCTCGGCGCCATGGATCTTGGCGCCAAGCTCGGCGTCATGGATCTTGACGCCGAGATTGGCGCCGTGATTATTGGTGTCGAGCCCTGACTTACGTATGGGCCCTCCCTCCCTTTCTCTCTTCCTCTCTCTCGAGCCAGGGCGCCCGCGGCCACCGCGCCCTCGCCGACGCCCGCCACCGCGCCCGTGGCCCGTGCGGCCTCGCCGGCCGCCGTGCCCGCCCTGCCCGCCACGTCGCGCGCCGTCCTGTCCAACCCGGTCGCGGCCCGCTGTGCCCTGCCCTACCGCGGCTCTCCTCGCCCCACCCGTCCACGGCCTACCCCGCCCGCCCTGCACGAACCGCCGTGGCGTGGCGGGTATACCGCCGTGTCGTGCCTGCCCCTACCCGCCACGCCACAGCGGCCGCCGCCCATGTAAGGCTGGTGGCTGGTGTGGGGCCGTGAGGAGCTCCAGCCCAGGCACGCCAAGACGCTCCGGTGGCTTGCTGTTGCACTCCGCCGACGCTCCACCAACTGCACAGTAAAGTAAGTTACTTTATTCATTTGAATTGATAATTTAGTACTTAGTTAACAATAGCTAGGGTGTAATAGGTAGATAGATATTTAGATAGATATATAGATACTTATATTGGTAGTTAACTAGCTTTCGTATATAGTTATTACATAGTTAGATACATATATAGGTATATATTTAGTATTTAGTATATATATGTAGTAGTTAGTACATAGTATACATTTACTTATCTAAATACTAGAGACCTTCACGTTAGTAGTTAGCGTGTATTTTTGACTAAAGGACATGTGTTTCGTTACGTGTTTGAACTAGATGGACAACCTACTGACCATATATCAAGGGAGCACCGTTAAAAGCGATCGCTATGGAGACTACTGAGTGCAACGAGGCCACTTTGCCTTTCTCGGGGCATCGGGATTCTCCTCCATCGCTGCTTTCGCTCGACGTGTACGTTCAAGCTTCTTCTCCCTCTCCTACCTGTACGCAGCAATATGTCTCCTTTTCTCCTCTTCCTTGTGCTCCTTTTTTGCAGCCTCCTCTCCGCGTCTCTTCTCCTTGTCCTCTGCCTCCCACCGTAATAGTTCTGCATCCATTTCTTGTTTTCAGGCTTGATCTCAGTGTCGATGCACTGCTCAAAATCACAGAGCGGTGGAGGGGTCTGCAAAAAATGTAATTGTTACAAAACAAAAAAAATCATACAAGATGTCATATGACACAAACATCAATTCCTCACCATCTTATTAATGCGGCGCTGACGAAGTGTAGGCTCAAACGCAAAATTAGAACACATCCAATACCTCTACCTATACGTGTCCTCTTCATCGGACTTGGCTACCTTGCAAGGATCGTCGCAAAAGCACATGAGCACTGGAACACCACTAGGCAGAGGTAATGGGTCGAAGGCATTTTCAGTCATCCGGCCATAACTATAATTTAGCCATTTTCGTTCTAAGAACCAAAATCAATTAACATTAAACCCTACACCTAGTGTTTCCCATTTGATCGGACAACAATGAACCCATAACATAACAATGTGCGATGAGGTTACCTTAGATTGCTAGCTTTTCTATGCCTTGGCATCCTACGGTTGTATAATATAAATATTAAAATTGCATGAAACCCTAAGTAATGACGATTCTTAAGTTGAAAAATCCGACTAATATATACCGAATCGATGTAAAAAACTAGGAGGGAGCGAAGATACCTTGCTCTCGAAGATCTACGGATCAAATCAAAGTTTTCAAGGTCCAATATACCGATTCGTGAGGTAGGGCGAAGTGGGAAGAGAAAAAACCCGAGAGGGGGAAGAAAGAAGAGGTAGAAGGCTCGGACAGGAAGGTTGGGGGCCAGGTTAAAACACCACCTCGGCACCATAGATCTTGACGTCAATAACCACGGCGCCAAGTTCGGCGCCAAGATGTCTGCCAAATCATCGCCACGTCTGCGTTGAGTCCAAGATCTAGACGTCAAAATCTATGACGCCGAAACGTGTAAGCTCAGCGCCATCAACAATGACGCCGAGCTAAGGATTCAGATTTTAAAAATCATACCTCCAGATACATATTTTTAAAAAATTTAAAAAAAAAAGCTAAAAAAAAAAATCGGTCCTCCGCCCCACGCACGCCTGTGCAGCCCAGGGATCGAATCCCACGAGCAACCGAAAAAGAAAAAAATTAAGATAGCTCCTCAACATGGGCGGCCTACGAGCACAATACGTGCGCGTGAACCAAGGTCCGCAGGCGGGTGTGACGCGCAAGGACGGCGCGCATGCGAGACGGCCGCGGACGGCGCTCGCACGGAAGACAGGCCGCGGACGGTGCTCGCACGGAAGACAGGCCGCGGACGGTGCTCGCGGATCAGGCCACGGACGGTCGCGACGGGCGACGAACACCCGTGCGCGGACTCCATCGGACGAAGCGCGTACGACGAAGGTGGATCCCCAGGCTGCAGCCAGCGCCGGAGCCCACCCCATCTTCCTCCGTCACCAGCCGCCCGC